AGAATGGGTGCTCAGGATGTTGGCACGTTCTAAGATCTCAGTGTGGGCGGCTTTGTTCTATCTAGAAATTCCTAAGCTGCATTAATAGCACATGTAGAAGCGCCCTGTATGAAGTTCATTTTGTCCCTCAAAATACTTGCAACCTCTTACTTGTTAGAATCTGCAAATTTAATGTGCACTCTTCATTCCATCATCCAAGTGATGAATGAATGTATTAAGTAGTACCAGACCTTCATAGGAAGTTCCTGGAATGAGGTGCAGTCAGGAAGGTGAGGCAGTTTTCTTGAGTAGAGCATCTTATCGAAAAAAGCTATCGGGTTGGTCTGGCATGATCTACCTTTGGTAAGCCCATATAACATTTTATCCCTTTTTACATTCACCTCCGTGCCTCTTTAATGACTTTTCCTTCAAAATGTGTTCTGAAGCATTGCATGCTAATGGGGTGAGACCATAGTTACATGGATCACTTTTTTCCTTCTCTTTATTACTGACTCATGTTCTGTTTTTCACTTTTATGGGTACCACCTTGGATTTTGATAGGTTTACTTAAAAAAACCCCAACACAACTTGCTATTCAAAGTAATGGGCCTATTCTTTCAAAATTTTAGCATGGTGAATGTCTCCTTGATTTATTATTATGTAATTATATTTACTGTAGTAGTACTGAAAGGCTTCAGTCAGTGGCCTTTATTTTAATAGGTACTGTGGAAGCAAATAATAATGAATACCTAGGTCTTCTAAAACACTACAGCAGTAGGTCTAATTTTTTATCACAATAATTTGCATTTATTATATGTTTTTAATTGCTATTGGGTTGGTCTGGCATGATCTACCTTTGGTAAGCCCATACAGCATTTTGTCCATTTTTACATTCACCTCAATGACTGTTTAATTACTTTTCCTTCAAAACTTATTCTGAAGCATTGCATGCTATTGAGGTGAGACTGTCAGGTTCCTATATGTTGGTATTCCTAAATGTTGGTAAAGAATATTTTTGTAGAACTAATTAAAAATAGTGATATATTACATTTTGATCAGAATAACACAAGATACAATCTGGAGACAGTAATAGCAGCACTGACCTTTTAATCTGCAATATAGATACATTGCAAGAAAAATAAACACAAAAATTAAAAGGAGAGAGAGAGGGGGAAACCTCTTTAAGGTTGATAGTCATGTATTTAATTCTTTCTTCACTTATGTAACCTGAAAAGTCACAGATACTTGTAGTACAGATGATCTCTGTGAAATGTGTAACATTATAAATATTTAATAGGTGGGATTTATAGAATGAAAGCCAACCCTATGTATTAATGGAATGAAAGTCAACCTTATGTATTCTAAATCCAACCTTATGCATTTAGACTTGAAAATGATATGTAGTAACTGTAATATATCCATATAACATTAACATTTATCCATGTTCATTCTCAACATTTATGACCCTCACATTTCAGAATTCCAAAGCAAAATGGTGAGAAATTCGAAAACGATTATTTGGCATTATACAGCTCAGTTGAAATTTGTCTTGCAGATCAGAGCGAGTGACTTTGCCAACCATCTACAGATTTGTGCATCTTGAAGGCCAGACAGAATTGTTAGACTGTCTAGTTTGCATGAGACTGAGCCCAATAACTTATCAGTGACTAAAACGTATTTCCAAGAGAAGCATCCAGACTAAGTCCATTGCTGTTGTCTGGGAAACAATTATGCATGCAAATTAGTCTACACTCATGAGAAATCAGTCGGATAACTTATGAATGAAGTTACTTTTGTGTGCCAATGTCTGCAGGTATAATTATGTATATTGATTGCTAAGCTAAAATATAGTTCTGTACTTTGGCTTGTGATAATACTTTATAATTTATTGTGTAGTTTTCTTGATCTGTTACATTTGAGAAATGACGTTTTCTGGGAACTTCTGATTTCCTGCATGTAAATTAAACAAACATTCTATTAAATCCTCTGTACGTAATTGTGAATGGATTCTTAGGTTTCAGTACTTAATTATACCTTCTAGTGGCTGATTTATAATGCTAAACTCTGGGGCTGTAAAATCTTCAGACTAAACCAACAGACTCTTCTATAGTCATAATTGATTGTGGCATTTTCCTCAGTCAACAAGGCAATGAACACTTGATGATGTACCTCAGTTTTCAGCCCTGCAAAAGAGATCTGCATAGGAATTGGGATCCACCCTCTTATCTTTGAAGAACCATGTCCTTAGATTTATTACACAACTCTTCTTCAGCCTTTCTTCAACAGCATCCTCCCAAAAGCAGCCTCCCTTCCTTTTAACCTCACTACCTTCCATGGTAGTCCAGTATGTCATGTGCATCTACACATGCAACCTTTTGGGAGCAAATCTGCTCCCAGTGGGAGCAGCATGGTGCAGGGCTGCTGCTGCCCTTCTCTGCCACCTGCAGCAGCCAGGGAGAGCTCCAGGTGGAGCTAGCCTGGGGGCTGGCAGGGAGCATGGGGGCCTGTCCTGATAGACACAGACAGTTGTGTCCTGGCCCCATGCACTTCAGAGGGGTCCTGATGTCCTTGGGGCCAGGACACATCTGCCACTGCAGCTGGCAGAGCTCTCCTGGCCCCATGCACATTGGGACACACAACTGCCAGTGAACCTCATGCCCTGCAGAGCTCCCTGCCTCCCCAGCAGGGGGCTCACAGGGAGCTCTCCCACTTGTGGGGCAGCTGCCAGTGAGCCTCCTGCTGGGCAGGGTTTCCCCAGCCAGCCCTGTGCTGGCCAGGGAATCCCGACCTGGCAATAGGCTTGCCAGCAGCTGTTCCACAAGTGGGACAGCTGCCAGAGAGCCTCTGGCTGAGTGGGAAAGCAGACAGGTCCCCAGCCCAAGCACTACTTGGCTCCCAGCTCCTCTTGGGAGCCAGAAGCCATGCATCCCCGGGATGGGAGAAGTCATAGACCCCATGCTATGACCCCATGCTAGTGCTGATTGGCTCTCAGTTCCTGGGATTAGCCATGAGCTGAGCAATGCCAAGACTGGGGACAGAGAAGTCCCCTGTAGCCCACTGCTGGTGTGGCTGACCAGGACCAAATTTACAGGTACTAGCTAACTGCGCAGTAGATTAATTGACTGCATAATAATTGCCACATATGTGTAGATGATGTCACTTTACTGCACAGTAGATTAGTTTACTGTGAAATAAAGTGTCTCATGTACACATAACCATATTGGAGAAATTATCTGATATAAATCGCATGTAATTCAACAAGGACAAGTGCAAGGTTTACATTTATGGAGGAATAATCAGATACACAAGTTCATATTGGGTAACAACTGACTAGGCAGCAGTTCTTTGAGGAAGGGCCTACATATTACAGTAGATCACAACTGAACAGGAGACAATGAATTTATACTATTCCAGAAATCCTACTGGTATACATACAGAAATATGGTAATTAAGACACATGAAGAAATTCTTCTACTCTAGTCAGCACTGCTAAGGGGTCATTTAGAGTATGTTTTTCAATTCGCAGCGCCTCATTCCAAGAAAGATATGGACATGTTGGAAATATTCCAGTGAAGAGCAATAGGCAGAGTTCTAGAAAACATGACCTATGAGAAAATATTGAAATAATTAGATTAGTTTAATTTAGAAAAGTGAAGAATGAAAGGAGACATGACAATAGTCTTCAAATAAGCAAAAGGACACTGCAAAGAGGAGCAGCAAAGTTAAGACTATTTTTGTCCATGGTGGATACAAGAAGGGGCCTAAAGTATAACAAGAGATTTAAGTTAGAAGTTTCTCAAATATTCAGTTCCCCCCTTCTAATTATAAGGATTATTAAGCACTGGACCAAATTACCTAGGGAGATTGCAGAATCTGAATCACTGGCAGTATTTAAGAGCAGGTTAGATAAATACCAGTTAACAGCAGGAA